AAGCTGGTTGAAATATGGGCTTGACAGGCATCGCAACAGGCAAGGGTGGAACTCTGGATGGCCTTATCATATTGGCACTGATGCTTTTATCAATTTAAACACACTAATATTAAAGCACTGGAAGGCATATAAGTTTCAGTAAAATTAATTTTTTATATTTGCAGCCCATACGAGCAAACGAGCTGCTGTAACTTTTTTTAAGCAGAGAAGATAATAAAGTTAAATGAAAAGTCCCAGAGCTCAGTTTTAAGACTACATGATATTTTAGATGAAACAGTTAAAGACAGCAGAGTTTGTAACTCTGAGACAGATAATGGCTTAAATCTACTATTGTGTTATGAGGATTCTCCTTGAAGTTCTTTAATTTATAAACAGAGTTACACTTTAACTGGAGTAAGCTGCTATGAGCTGCCTATGAGTCAGACTAGGGACAGTATTACAGAAAGAACATTTGATTTAGGATTGGGAAGTTGAAGGATCATTCCCAAGTGTACCACTTGCATGCTGGGACCCTGGACAAGGCACTTCTGTACTTCTGCTTTCTGATCTGCAAAATGGAGATAATCTTCCCTTTTAATGCAAGATATACTGATCTCCAAATGAGCAATACTATAAGCAAGCCTATCATTCTTCAAGTTTGAAATGTTTCTTGAAATAGCTTGTGTTAGAGGAGAGAAAATTAAGACCAGAAAGTAATACGGAAGAGAAATTACTGTAAATAAGTTTACTTGAAGGTCTTGTACTGAAGGAAGGAAAGCACTCAGATTCCTGCACAAAAGATAAAATAGCGATTAAAGTAGCAAAGCAAAATATGCACATCTAAGTGTTCAACAGATCATAAACAATATAAATGAAACACATGCCAGTAATGAAGATAGAGCTTTAAAGACATAAAAAAGCATCACGCAGGACCAAGAAGGCATACTGCCAGAAAATTTATCTGTTTATACATACATATGTGTGTGTACATGCATGTTCATACATACATACTCGCAGTCATGCAGAAGGAGAAAGAGGAATACCTAACAGCCTTGAAGCTGGAAACAAACTTCAGGAAACCAAACTTCTGGTGGTGGTACTTCACTCCTTCACCTACCCAATACAATTCAATTCACAAATGAATTAGGGCTGTGAGGAGGGAAAATAAGCGCTGACTCTAGATTACAAAACTAAAGGGTACTGCTTATTCTAACATTCGCTGCTGCATGCATTTACAAATATATGTCATTATGTGGCTTAGAAAACACAAAATGACCCCACTACTGCTTTCCACATGATTTGGCTAGGCAAGCAAAATGTGATACCACAGTAAGCAATGTAAACCAGAAAACAATGACCCTTAGGATTCAGAACCCATCCTAACAATTTCTCTTTAAGACTTTCGGGAAAAGCAATTGTGAACTCAGCATTTTTTTCTAGAAGACAGAATTACTGTTGTTATCAAACAAGCAGTTCAGTAAGCTTCTCCCAGATTTGTCTCTCATTGTTGACTATCAATTCTAATTGCACCTTTCTCTGTGCTAGAGGCATTTCCAAGGCCTCTGCCCAAACTGGATTCTCCAGCAATCAGTAAGATACAAACTAACTTTGCAGCACTGCAGTGGGGGCACTGAACATCTGTCTCACCTTTACTCCCAGTCAGGTGACCACATCGAAGAAATCCCTAGGACATAATCATTTTGCAGAACTCTATTGCTCTGTGTAAAAGTTATTTATTCAAAAGCTATTTGGGTGAGCAAGAAGGAAGAGGAGGAGGAGGATGGAGGTGTAAAGAGATGGCAAAAAGGACTGCATAAACTTAATTCCTTTGGAACAAAATATTGCCCCATGCTTTCAAGTGCTCTCAAAACCTCCCTTATAGGACTTCCACTGAGGTGACTGACAGATAAGAGTAGAAGTTTATCTTCCAGTGAAGCAGATAAGGAATAATTTATTCTCTCACCAACAGAGGAACACCTCTTTCAAATACTTTGGCTCCTCAAAGTTGAATTTCATCCAAGCAAACTATGTCACAAGATTATAGAATGAGAGTACACATGGAGTCTAATTAATTTCCTAACTTAACATATTGCTACCCAGAACGAGGATGATCACACAGCATGATCATAAAATCAAAATATTTTTAAGATACTAAAGGAATACTTTCCTTGCTTAGAAATTTCAACTGTAAATCACAGAGGAACAGATTTGTAGTGTCTCTTTGACACATTCCTCTTTGACTAGTCCTCTGGATCAGCCAGACAGAGAAGGTAAAAATCAAACTTGCAGACATAATTTATTTTTCCTGGAACCATGGAAGACATCTTCCACCTAATTAATACTCTCAGTTAAAAGACAAGTTTTAATGATATTTGTTCTGAAGAAAAAAAAATCCACATAGCAACACGCAAGTTTAAAGGCCAAAAATGGAAATGCAAGTGAAGAAATCCTTCTCTCTTCCCTTCAGGTGTTCAGACCCTGTACCTTCCTTTCTCCTCTATTGCATGTACTTCCTAGGTGACCACAGGATTAAATGGCAGCTTTCTTCTCTCTTCAAACGTTTTAATTCTGTGTCTTCATCAACAGCCTGTTTTCCAATCACCTGACCTCTGTTATGCCAAAATGTTTTCAATGAATATGCCTAAAATTAGAAACTTAAATACAGATTTAGGTGTTTAAAGGGGCTAAATTTTCAGAAGAGTAAAGTGGTTTCATCCATAAACTAAAGCCAGTAAATGTTGCAAGTGCTCAAAATCTCTGTGTTATCAGGGCACCAGGCAGCAAGCTAAGCATCGCTGGGATGTATAAAAGCATCGCCGAACCTCCTCCTAATGAATTACATTTAGTGCTTCTGAACAGGGGGCAAATTTGAACCAAAATTAATACTTTATGCAGTCATGATACAGCTTTGGATTCTATTTGCTTACTCTTCTGATATCATTTGCTTAAGCTGAATAAGCAACTTCTTGAAACCCCTTATGTCCAAAAAAGCAGGAGAGTGAAAACAGAAATGTATCTTTTAGCTAGCCTGCATGAATCAGCTGATGGTATCTTACTATGTTTTATGGAACAGACATCACAAGCAAGAAACAACTAGCATTTAATAAATATGGTACTTATGTTTACAGAAAACATATCTGTTTTGGTTTTTGTACCTCTGAAAATATCAGACTGCATTTAAAGCAGGTACCCCCAAGTACTTATTACATGTAACAGCATGAAAATATAACTGAACTGAAATCTTAGGTTTAGTGCATTGGCATGAAATCCACAGAATTACTGCAATTACACTTAGGCTTGTATTCATCAGGGATTAGAATGCAATATCCTTTACCCAACTTAACACATGGCTTTACCTAGGAGAGAAATCAAAGAATTCAAAAATTTATGAACAGGCTACTCATTCTTGAAACACATCTGCAGATGTCAGGTTCCCACTGCTCTCATTTTAATTATTCATTGCAAAAATCTCTTGTGATATCTTAAAAAAATCCCTCTATAGCAACAGGTGGGATTTGATAATGAAACGAAGCCAGGAAACATTCAAGTCCTTTGTTATTCTAAGTGTAATTCTTTCAAGAGGGGAAATACCTTACTTATCATGGTCAAAACACATCCTAGGCATAGTTGGCTCAGCTGTTCCAATGACAGTCGTTATCATTCCTATCCTAGACAGCAAGACAGCCATGTGTGCTCTTGTGATGACAAACTGCAGAAAGGGAAAAGGGGAAAGCCAACTCCATTTCCCCCTTCTGCCCCCAAACTACCATATAAAGAGCTTGTGGCTCACAGCCAGACATGTGAGAGAGGTGTGATATAGAGAAGTCCTCCCATCTTTGTCTATATTGATGGGGAAGAAAACTGAAAAAAACAATATATATTCAGGGTGGAGAGAAGGGAAGCAAATGAAGATGGGTACTGTGGGATAGCACTCTGAAGTTTCCTATGGACATACAACACCTTTAGAGATTAAGACATTTCAAAAGAGCTTAAGCAAAAACTGGTTAATTATGTATTTGTCTGGAAGGAGGAGAGGACAAAGGCACTTCCAACTCTTGCTGCCTTATGGGAGAGCAAGTCATCTGAAGAATTCAGTCAACTTTCCTATCCTGCTACGGTGAAAATGGGAAAGGAGGAGGTTTACACACCTCCTTATATCTTGTGCTGCTGTCTTTGTTTTCTTGCAAGGCTCTCGCCCTCACTGTTGTTAAGAGTGCTTAATGCTTCCTCTCAAATCATCATCAGCAAATGCTTCCTCTCAACTCCTTTCACCCAGATGTAGAGAGGAGAGACTCAACTCTTCAGACAGAGTTCGTCCCCTAGGAAGGGAAGGCTCTACCGGGAGGAAAAGACAGCAATGACAAGAGCACATATGCCACTGATTCATAATATCAAAAATTCCCCTGCCCAATAAATTTTGGCTCCCAAAACCAAAGTATGAAAAGGGAGGGGGATGCTGCCTCCTCTACCTTTCCAATGAAATGAACAGTTGAAAACTCCATATGGCTCCTTTTAAGTTGAGTCCACTGCTTGCTCTGCAAAGGTTCCCCTTGATTCCAGGTGAACCTTTTGCAGAAGGAGGTGGCTTACCATATGTATTGTTGGCAGGGTAAGATCCCCCTCCCCCCCCCATCCCATCTCACCTTTGGGAGAGGAGAAGAAGGAGAGATGAACATCAAGGCTCAGTGTGCCAAGACTTGAAAACGTATTTATGTGCCAAAGTGGGACTCGCTTTGAACATCAGCCACAACAGCTCTGCAGCACTTTGGCTAGTTCATTAACAGAAATCAATATAGGCTGCCTTTTAACAAAGCCTATGTTTTTAATTTGGCACACTAGGCAATTCCTTTTAGCAGAAGCATCAGTGTTTACAAGGTGTGCTCTAAACGTGGCAAAACCTCAGAACAGCAAGGCCACAGAAAATTATGTTTTATTTCAGTGCAAAGGTAAAACATAAACCAAAGTACATTAAAAAGAAGAGTAATCATTAACAAGCAGAGACAAAGATGTGGTGCTTTTACCTGGAGACCCTTCTTTTCTATCTTTTTTTGAAGTATCTGAAGGCACTTGGTGAAGTCTGTGAAGTTCTGATCCATGGTCTCTATGAACTCACATCCCTAGTGAAGAAGCAATAGAATAGAGAGAAAATAAAATATCTGCCACCTTTCAATTTCAAGAACTTTTGCAGTTAACAATTCTTAAAGTCTCCGCATGGAGATGCAGAACTAAGTAAAAGACTATTATGCTTAGGAAGCCTAAAGACCCTAAGTCCTAGCTGAACAAGTTATTAAGAAACTGATGTGAGACGGGCACAGGATTAGATCTCCCAAACCTAAAAGTACATTCGTCGGTTTGGATAAGTACGTTCTACAACGCTCCTCCGCTGGACTGACAAATTCTTATATGTAGAGCTCTGATGAGTAACTTCTGGGATCAGGTTCTAGGAAAATGATTGTCTGGTTCTACAGTTACTACATTTTTGCTGTATGTATTGAAACATGATTCAAAGATGTCAAGCTTCCTGGAACCAGTAAAGTTGTGTTAGCTAATTTGCAGTGACGTGATAACAGCCTTCTTTGTGGTGCGGTAATATGAATGAGAGCATGCTAAAGTGGAGAAAGGCAGTTTAGACTTCTTAGCTCAGAGATGAAGCAATTTCTAAGCCTCTGATAAAGAGCTGAGTAAGCAAAAGTGAAGTACATCTACCACATAAAGTCACCATGCAAAGAGGTTTCAAGGATAAAAAATATCCATGCAGCATTGTAAATTACAGTAAGAACCACACAAGCTGGATTTAGAGGTTCCCTTTCCTACTACTTCAAGGTCCCCGTAAAAGCTTCCTAGCTTTGTCTTTATCTGACATATTTTATGTTCCTGTAATACACAGTAACAACTGATACAAAAAAAACCATCAACTATAGAGTTTTTGTATGTGTGTATATGTGTATAAGCTACATTATTCTGTTAAATCAAAAAAGCCCTCCAACTTTCAAGCTGCCTCTACCTCAATGATTAAAATAAGATATAGAAAGTAGGCCTTCCCGGATCAGCATGTGGATAGCATTTAGTGGATTGCAAGCATCAAGATATGAGCCTCCAATTGGAAGACGTACATTATCACCGAAATGCTCCCTTGCACAGCCAGAATGCATATAGAAAAAACAAAATTGTCATGCAGTAGAGGATATACATGAAGAGCAAGAGGTAAGAGAGGAGATAATGTCATCTGTTTTATTGTAAACCTTCTTCCTCCTCAAAATCTTCTGAAAGGAAAACTGGTCACAAGTAAAGTTGCAGCCTTTCCGGTACCTGATACTGCTCTAAATGCATTTTCAAGTAGTAGTAGCAGGCCTGCATGATATACCTGCATCAACACATGCAATCAATGACTTCCCTTGCAGCTGCCACCATGAAGAGGCTAGGGAAAATGCAGCTGGAGACCTTAAGTCAGTGCTAAGCGTCAGGTGATTTGAAGAGTTGCCTGGTCTCCATTCCTCTTTTCACCAGCCATAGTTAAAACATACAATTTGCAGAGGGAGGAGGGGCACAAGCCATTCGGAGTCTGCAATGAACGTGTGTTCTGTAGGGCCAGCCTGAAACACGAAGGGAGCCCAAGAAAAGTGTAGGGATGGAGAGGCCTGAAAACTACTGAAGGAAATTCGTTAATTCGTTATTTTGCCTAATAGCGGCAAAACAGACCAAGTTGTGAGAAACTACAGATAAACAGAACCTCCTCAGTCTTTCACAATCAGCCTTTAAACAGCAAGAGACCATGACAGATGAAGACTAAATCGGTGACAAGGACAGCTACTACTGAGCACGTGAGGAGAAAAAAATCCTGAGTTACTAGCTCCTAAATTAACAGTAAAGAAGGGTGGTCTTTCATCTTGTGCCAGGACCAGTCCTTGGCTCCACAGTGCTGGCAAAGTGAGTGGTTTATAGGTACCGATTTATAAATAATAGATTTAAACCCCCCTCAGCACTTTTGAAATATTCCTTCCCGCAATCGCCAGCAACCCTGATCTCCTCCTCCTTGGATAGGTAGCTTTTGGCAACCATAGGTAGACTGCAGTTCTGCATTCCACCCAGGGAAGTCTGAACTTATTCAGCTATCTGGGGTTTTTTAAGTGAGGATCTACAACAGCTTGTATTTCATGCTTTCTACTGTTAACAACATTTCGCTTGAGGTTAGCCCTTGCCTAGCTTCTCAAGATGTTCTTGCATGAGAAAGAAATATCTCATGGCAACTGCAAGGCACTGCTGAGGAGAGACAGCTTCAATGTGGTGGCTGGAGGGCATCGTAAGTGACCTACCACAGCTCCTGAAGACAGCTGTGATGCATCACACCTTAAAATCCTCATACTACAGGCACTCTACTTTCAAGCCTACCAGAGTCTTTCATGCATATTTACAATAAAAGGCCTCAAAGACCACAGAAATCAGATCTTCTAAACTTATAAATGGGCTGACAGATGCCTATTCATTAAAGGCAGGTTACTGCACCTGTGAGATTGATACTACGATGATACTGTGAGAGGAGCAGCAAAAAATCAAACCTAACTTAACAGCAGTAGCCTGAAACTGTTCACTCACTGCAGCTTTGACACTTTATGCAAGTCCCACTGTAGATCATACTGAAAAACGTTGACAGATCATCACTGTTAAAGCCACCAGATCGTTCAAATTAAACTGTGATACCTCATTCCCTTTCCACGACAAACAGATCAGCAGTTCTGGAATTGATAGCCATTACTGGCTCTGTTCCTGTTGCCACGATGCTAAAGAAGCTGGCCTGTGCAGAACACACAG